GCGGCGTTTTTTGCTCATACCGAAAAATGTCGAAAGAAGAGTGAGGAAAGTACTCTTCGAATGATTTAAAAACAAAAGTTCACATACTCAACGAAGTTAGGGAGGGAAAATTGTCCAGAAAAGAAATTGACGAAAAGTATGACCTCAAGAAAAGCACGCTTGCTACCTACATTAGGAATGAAGCAGCAATCGTGAAAGCTTTTGAAGAAGAGCAATTTGTGAATTCAAGAAAACGCCTTCGCAGTGCAGCCCATCCAGAACTCGAAGAAGCCGTTTACAAATGGGTGACAAAAGTAAGAACGCACAACCTTCCGATGACTGGAGACATGATTCGCGCAAAGGCTCAACAGTTCAGCGAACGTTTGGGCATCGAGGGATTCCGTGCTTCCGAGAGATGGCTCGCAAGGTTCAGGGAGAGGCACTCTCTTATTTTTAAGCACATGTGTGGTGAAGGAGCCGATGTGGATGAAAATTTGTGTGAAAACTGGAAGACGTCGGAGCTCGCACGTATTCTTGCGGAGTATGCGCCCGAGGACATATTCAATTGCGACAAAACGGTGTTGTTTTTCAAAGCTCTCCCCGACAAAACGATAACGTTCAAAGGGGATCCTTGCACTGGGGGAAACGCAGTAAAGAGCGGGTGACCGTGCTCGTGGCAGCCAAAATGACAGGCACGGAACGTCTGCCTCTTTGGGTGTTCGGGAAATCCAAGACGCCACAATGCTTTCGGAACATCCCGCGGCTTCCAACGGACTACCGTTTCAACAAAAAAGCGTGGATGACACGTGAGGTCTTTCAAGATTGGCTGCAAAAATTGAACCGCCAGTTCGCGTCCAAAGGGCGCAAGGTCGTGTTAGTAGCGGACAACTGCAGTGTGCAGATACAAATGTCTATGATCCGCCTGATTTTCCTTCCACCCGCAACCACCTCACTCTTGCAACCAATGGATCAAGGAATAATCAAACACCTGAAAGGCTTGTACCGCAAGCATCTCATGGCAAGAATATTGCTTTGTCTGGACCAGGGTAAGCGCTATGAAGTCACTCTGTTGGCGGCGATTCATATGCTTGTTAAAGCTTGGACGGACATGCCAAGCCAGGTCATTGCGAACTGCTTTCGTCACTGTGTTTTCTCGTGTGATGGAAATACCGCGAGTTTGACGACTGCATCGGCTACTACGTCTACATCGACAACTGCATCGGCTACAACATCGGCAACCACAACTGAAGATGAAAACTTTGACGAAGAGTGCAGTGCTCTAATGTCCGCTCTACCCGAAAACGTTAGTTTCGATGATTACGTTGCGATAGATGATGGAGTGCTTGTGTGCGGTCAATTGACTGACGACGAAATCATCGCATCGGTTCAGCGTCCCGAGGGTCAGGAGGACGACAGCTGCGAGAGTGACGCCGAAGAGCCGCCGCCACGCCCATCTCCTGCCGAAGCATCCACTGTGCTCGATGTACTTGCGAACTTTGCAACGTTTGAAGACACCGACGGGACAATGTGGCCGCACATTGAGGATATGCGGAAATTTTTTTTGCAAAGCGTCTGACGGGAATGCGGCAGCAGAAAATATTGGCGTTTTTTTTCTAAATACAGTGATGTGATTGCTGCGCCAATTGTGCCAAACTGCGCCAAGGGGCTAACCCTGCTACATCCTGCTACATTTTGCCAAAATATGGGTAATCTGCGTCAAGCCTGCGCCAATTTTGGTCGCCTTTCAAAACCAAAATTATACTGAGAACTATAATTGAGCATGCGTGAGGCTAGGTGGCGCAAGCGGCCTCGCGACACATCGTACTACGTACCCTGCATCAATCGTCCATCCGGTCTTGCACGGTTTTTCCCGCCGTCTCGCGTTTCGCGCTTTCGTCGTCTCAAGCATGTCGTCTCACCTCTCGCGTTAAATAAATAAAAAAATAAAAATATCGACGATAGGCGTGGGCATGCGCGGACGGTTCGACTTTAGTGTGCCGGGTGCCGGACATGCCGTCATGCTGTGAAACAAAACCATCAAAACCACGTTTTTGCGCGGCGAGGGTCACCTTGTGAGTTGAAGCGCTCGCGCAACCACAGTCGCCGTGATCGCGCGACGTTGTGTGTTGCCGTCCCCACATCGCTGCAGATATGGCGTTTTCTAAACTGAAACGCATTGACATTCTTGTTCTTGTTTAAATCATACACTGCTACAAAAATCCCTATTTAACTATAAGGCTGCTTTGCGAAGTATTGAATATTTAGGTCTCTCTCGGTGGGCTTTCTTTCGAGAGGGACCCCGGTACGTGAAAAATATGCCCCGAAAGAAATTTGATGAGGAGAAGTGAGCTAAAGCAAAGAAGGCAATGTCTGCACACTGAACCCGCACATCGCGCTTGTTTGTCACGAGTTCAGTCGTTGCACAAAGCGTTTCAAAAACTTTTTGACCCTGGCTCGCGATGTCTTATATCCATGCGCTCAGGAAAGAATTTACTGGTCTGTCTTTCGTCCTCTCTCTGTTTTATACTTTCTGTTATCTAGTACATCTTACCAACACGCTCGTTGGGAATATAATCAGGTTCTTTTTTTCTGTGTTTTTAGCCTGTACATCGGATGCCGGCCTGGCAAGCACGTGCCACTGGACTGTTTATTGTCGTCTGCTCGACAATTACATTTTGCATACTATTTTGGGAACCAGTTAGCGACGGAGCGGAGTGGCATGGTTTTGGTTTCGATTGAACAGCCGTTGCCTCCGCTCGCGCGACTAAGCACGTGCAACTACAAGCCTGCCGAAGTTGCCCTCACGTGCATGCGAACATGATTGCACGACAGAGACACCAGCCGGGACGCTTGCAATTCATCGTTTTACGTTTTCTTACTTTTTATAAAACTCTGGCACGTCGGGAACCAATAAAACGGTAACAAAGTTTTTTTTTTGTTTTGTTTTTTTGCATTTGCTTGGCAACGCTTGCAGCACTGTATACTTGTGGGATGTCTCGGCTGTAAAAACAAAAGCAGCGAGTTCCGTCACAACACGTCCCATCAGAACACATCACAACACAAAGTGCCCTTCGTTTGTCCAGCACTTAAAACATATATTTGTTTTTCTAAGAATATCTGCCCCAGAAGCCACCTTTTCTGCATTGAAATGCTGTTTTGGTTGCTCCAAAAGCCACTTTTGCTGCTCCAAAACACTGTTTTGGCTGCTCCAAAAGCCACTTTTGCTGCTCCAAAACACTGTTTTGGCTGCTCCAAAAGGTGCTCCAAAATGGCTTAGGCCAATCACATCACTGTAAATAAAACTCCGTCGTCACGGTTGGCTTTTCGCCGCTTCTCGTGACGTGCGTCGTTACTTGTTTTTGATCGATATTCGATAATTCGATCTATTTTCGAGGAACCGTCAGAGTCGAATTAACGAGCTTCGATTAATAAGAAAAAATAAAAACTTATACAGTAGTTCCTTGTTATAACGAAATTGTTGAAAATTTGAATCAATGTAACTATATAAATGTACTCTTTCTGCGCGTAGTACTTAAAATACAAAATGTGTTGACTTGCAAAACAAAGATATTTCTTTGTCATTTTTTGTGTTTTAAGTAAAGGTCTCCCCTTAAATTTATGGCCAAATATAAATATTTATACAGTAAAACCTCGTTATAACAAAATGGGATATAACAAACTAATGGATATAACAAAGCAATCATAATTCCCCTTGCTTGCTATTAGGGAAGAAATGAACATTGGCTATAACAAACTAATGGTTATAACGAAATAATTACGATCGCTCCTTCAACTTTGTTATAACGAGGTTTTCCTGTAGTTAATGTTTTCCAGAAGTCTAATTATATGTCTGAGTTATTGATAAAAAAAAAATGATTTTTTTGTCGTAATTTTAATTTTTCAAGATTAGTGTGTCTCCATGGAGCCACGAATATGCCATGCTTTAGACTGAAGACACTTGAGCCATCTTTCTGCTTAAAATAATTATTGCCTGTTATCTGAAGCTTTAATTTTCCATTGTCCGAAATACTTTTTCACAAACAAAAATAATAAAACTGTGCGACAGGGTGAAATGTATCTAAAGTTAGGGAAGTTGCAATTTTAAATTGTAACCACTGCCAGTTGCAGCCCGCCCACACCGAGCAGCAAAATGGTGGCGCCTGTAACACAGTCGGAGAGTGGAGTGTCGGTACTCTTGGCGTAGCTCATTTAGTGGGTTTGCTCGAACCCGTCTGGCAAGCAAGCCCCTCCGTCTCTCGCGCAGTGGGTGCAGCGACGTCAGAGCGCCATCTCTGGCCGGAAGGATAGTAAGCAGGCACAAAGGCTTTGTGTCAACCCACCCTAACCCTCCAATCAGAGGCAGCATAAATGTCGTCCACTACTTAAGCAGAGGGTGCGACGGCATCAGCTTCGGCGTTTGGGGCAATGTCTGCTAGTCCTAGTAATGGCTCTCTCACCTTGCTACAGCTTTCAGAAATCCATTGGTACTTCAGGAACGAGGACTTGACCTTTGAGAAAGGGGAAAGAAAATATAGTGTCTCGCAGATACACTGCGAGACACTATTGGTACGAACACAACACAGGCTCATTTTTGCATTCACTCCGAAGGTTATTGGCAGGCATCAAATTTCACCACTTACATTAGTGCCCCAAATGGGCTGTTTGCACCAGACTAGTTCTGGTTTTGTCAACAGCTCCGACTCTAAGAGAAAAACGGAAAAAAACCAGCAATCACCCGCTTCTGCTAAGAGTCGTGCAGTGTACATTGTTTTTTTGTCAATGTTACAATACCAGATGCGCTTCAACAAACCAGGGAATCGTGGCCTATATGTTGTCTGCCTCCCATCCCACCGTCGAATAGCAGACGGCTGTGGGGCAGGAGCTTGGTTGCGTTCATCACGCGCGTAATCACTCGCCCTCCCGTTTGTGGAGGGACGCGCTTTGGTAGGCTAGCCGTCTATGTCACCGCGACACCTTGGTCGTCGCGCTCACCTAAAACAGTTTCCAAACTTGCCGCACAGACATCCGCGAGACGGCCAGGGCAGTCAACCAGCGGCTGATGCAGCTGGTGACGCAAGAGGACGACCGGCCGGAGAGTCCGACCGACGAGAGCAAGGTTGACGAGGGTGTGCCGCACCCCGCCCCCAAGAAGGGAGCCCACAACCCGGCAGAGCTCGACCTCACCCCGCTGGTGAACGTGCTCACCAAGCAGCTGCAGCACGTGTCAATGCAGACCCGCATCGCGGTGCTGCGCTGGTTCTTCCACCTCTACATCAAGATCCCCAACAAGGTCAGTGTTTTGGAATTTGATGTTCCTTGGGAGTTTTTTTGAGGGGACTCGCTTGTTTTCCGGGGACGGCAGTTGGTTGTTGAGATTCATTAAAGGGATTCTGAACAGAAAAGCATACTTACCGTATTTACTTGGCATAATAAACACACTTTTTTTTCCGAAAAATTGACACATATTTGGGGAAAGAGTGTTCATTACAAGGGGTAAAATTTTTGCATTTACACACTTCGTGCAAATGTCATATTAGGTACCAATATGACACGGCAAGGTACTGTGGCACGTATCCAGGGAGGGAGGCGCACCCACGGCTGGTCAAGGGCGCGCCGCAATGGCCATGCTTTATAAGTTGCAAACCTTTTTAGGGTACTTTTGGAGTGCCTTTTGTGGAAGGAAAAGCGCCTTACGAAGCCCATTCAACATGAAAAGCAACACAGCCAAGCAACACCACCGTTTTTAGGCAATATATATTGCTAGTATCCTATTGCTAGTATCCGGGGGTACGCTCAGGTATAATCCGTGACTATGCGTATAAGAACTTGTACGAAGTCCAACCACCAACCCCCAAAGCCCGCTCGCGCGGATCACGTTTCGCTCATGGAGAGGCTACCAGACACACTCAGCCTACAGCGCAGCGTGCGCCTCGCTGTGCCGTTCTGTTGCGGATTAAATAAACACATTTACCTGGAGTATATGAAATTAGGCTAACCACTTTCACGATTTCACTGTCCGAAAGCAAACCACAAACGATGGCTTTTTTGTTGACATCAATGAATCCGATAGGCGAAGAATGTTCAAAGCTCGGCAAATCCTCCACCCAAGTTCTGTCAAGTGTGCGCGACACTCGGTTTCACAGTTGATCACTTCCGTAACTACCACAACTACGCAGTTGCGGCCATTATGAGGGAAGCCTGGCTTGGCTTGACTTGGCCTGACTGCTTGGCTGCAAAAGTAAACTGGCTTGGTGACTTGCTAAATTGGACGCAATTCGAGACTTGCGAAAATTGGAGTTGCACTAATTATGGGAGGGGAAAAAAAAAGTCAAAATATTGATGCTCATTGGGGGTGCATTTATTATGCAAGTAAATACACCAACTCATGTTTACAAACAAACCGGAGCGCCCCTAGCAGATGCCACCGGCACCACGCATGCGCGATGCAGTATGGGCAAGAAGCTCGCTGTCACCCATAAACAAACCATTGAGATGCGACGTCGGCGTCGGTGTGAGTACCCCTGCCCTTTTTCGCGTTTGAATTGCTGATTCTACGTCTTCCTGGGCAATGTCTGAGTACTTGAGCAGCCTTAGTGAAGTTACCGAGGCTGGTTACACAGCAAAACTTGGCGTGAATAATGTGACATGTGGCGATTCATTCCGCGTGGACGCCGCAGAATGTACGCCAAAGCCTGATTCGCATGATGAGATCTCGCTCGCAATTTTCAGTCGCAACGTCGCTCGGGTTGCAAAAGCGTGAACCGTAGCTAAGATGGTCGACGTCGATACTGAAAATCGCAAGCAGAATTGAACAAAGTGAATCAGGCATAACAAGTCAGTGATGGCCACTGTTAAAAATTATCAACATCTCCTTGTATCTACTGTTTACATCGAACCTGCTTACTAACCTTTAAACTTAAGTCTCTTGAGGCCTGCACTTACTTCTTATTGCAAGTACCGGGCCAGCATTTGGTCTACAGGCCGGTGTCGTCTAAAAGAGCAGACGACAAGCAGAAACGTTTGAAAGAATGGACGACAGTTCGAACGATCACGCGGCCGTTTGAACTTGAAGAATCACTGCACGTAGTCCGCAGGTGGTCCGTACAACTTGTCGGTTTTCCGGCGTTCATCTTGGAACAAAACAAATAAATCTGATGACCATAAGTATCCGTGAATTCAACCCAAAGTGCTTCCCGCCCAAGCAATCGTGGTCCGACGGCGTCCACTTTTTCCTTTTCACGGCTCATATCCACGTTCTCGGACGAACCGAGCACATGAAAACTGACCTTCAAACCTTTTTCGACTCTTTTGGTACAGCCCCAGTCACAGCTTTTCATGAGAGGGCAGGTTTTTGTCTGCTTCCAAAAGAACGTAGGAATACACGTCTGACATGGGGACTTCTGCCCACAGCACCAGACGGGAAGTGCACCTGATGTGCCACCATCGCACCGTGACATAACAGAGATGAGTCCGTGTATACGGTAACCGAAATTTGTATTTTGCAAAATAAGAGCGCAGAAGCATTGAACATTGGATGCTATGAGCTCCAAAACATCACTCGTACATCGACATCTTAAACGGATGGCTGTACTTTTGGAAAAGAAGAGCGCAATTGGGTGAGGGTTTTGACGTCATTATCCCCCTGTAAAAGTTGAGAATGAGGGGAAGCGGCCTTGCTTCTTTCCTCTTCGCCTCGGTTCACCAGCTTGATGGGACGTAGCGAGGAGGAGAAAGAATGAGAATCGTGACGCGACTTGTCTCGTTAGCCTCGTCGGCCGGGTTCAGTCGCGCACTTCTTTTTCGAAAATATGGTGATTTGTTAGAGATACTGCTGTATGAGTGAAGATTTTCGGTTTTGCAGCATCCCGCCTATCCGTCCAGCCTTGTTTTGTGAGTTCGAAATTTGGGTTCAGTATCCCTTTAAGGCAAATCTGGAATCTGGGTTTTTCAGAGCTTCCCCGGTGTTCCCTGATCTCCCGGACTGCCTTTAAGTAAAGTGTTCTCCAAGTTTAAAGGCTGCGGTATGTTTTTGAAAAGATATGAGCAATATGAACCTCCCATTATGAGGGGGTCTCAGGCTTCTGTTTTATTCCATCAGTGCGAGGGGATCCTCAGCTATGACTAAAAAGAAGCATTCCTTAAAGGCTAACCCGTGCATTAATCAAGATATTTTTCGATTCTGGACAGCATAGAAAATATACTTGCAAAATGTTTTTCTTTTTTTGGAAGTGAAGTGATAGTAGCACTCTGGTTAAAATGACATTGTTCCTTGAAGAACTGAGGACGTGCCGGGTCTTGACCCTACCATGTTAAAGTTGTTTATGCAGACTACATGCAGCACCACAGTCTGCCATTTCGCAGTGAAATTGGGAGCTATTCTGAGGAGAGGGTCAGGGTACTGACTGTTTCATGCTTTTTAAATTTACTTTTAGAACACAGCTATTAGGCGCCCATTTCTGGCTTGAGCGGCGTCGGTGCAGCTGTGCGTTTCATTATGGGACGTTTCCCATAATGATGTCACGTGTGGCGTCACCACGCAATCCATTATGGGTAAATTTACCTGCTAAATTTGGTGGAAGCATATCCCCTCTAAATTTAGCAGAAAAATTCCCTGCTATATATAGCGGGAAAAATTGCTCGCTAAATTCAGTGGAAAAAATTCCCCGCGAAATTCATCGAGGAAATTCACCTAAATTTAGCGGGGAATTTTTTCCACTATATTTAGCAGGGAATTTTTTCTGCTAAATATAGTGGGATTTTTTTCAGCTAAATATAGTGAATAAAATTCCCCACAAAATTTAGTGCCAAAAATTTCCCGCAAAATTTAGCGGAAGAGAGTCCCCACTAAATTCAGTGGGAAAATTTCTCCGCTAAATTTTGTGTAAAAAATTTCCTGCTAGATGTAGTGCGAAAAATTCCCCACTAAGTTTAGCGGGAAAAATTCCCCGCTACATTTAGCCAAATTATTTCCCCGCCACATTTAGCAGGGAATTTTTTCGCTAAAATTAGCAGGCAAATTAATTTTTTTCATTCAATTTAGGTTTTTTTTTTTTTTTTTGCTAAATGTACCAGGAAAATCTTTTTGCTAAATTTAGCAGAAAATTTCCCACTAAATTTAGCGGAAAAAATTTCCAGCTAAATTTAGCTAAAAAATTCTCTGCCAAATTTAGCTGAAAAATTCTCTGCCATATTTAGCGGGAAAAATTCCCCACTAAATTTACCTAAAAAATGCAGTGCTAAATGTAGCAGAAAAAGATTTCCCTGTAAATGGGAGGGGAGCAGGAGACGGGGAGGGGAGGGTAAGGATGAGGAGGAGGGGCATACCCTCCCCTCCGCACCTTCCCCTCCTCCTCCTCACGAGCTGCGCTCTAATTCAGTGTTACAGGCCATTGTAAACATCTTTTTTTTACTTGGTTATAAGGCAAAGCACACTGCTGCCTTTCAGCAGTCATGCCTATGACATTTTGGCAATCGGGAATGACCCCACCAGACTCATAAGAGTGTCGGACAACTGAAGAAACCGGTGGGTCCTGTAATGTCAAGCTAGCTCATTACACATTGTCCACCATTCATGTTCTGCATTAAAGCACAGTGGTGTCTGTATGTTACGTTTCACATACACTTGCGGTAAAAAGAAGTTGCCTCACTGAACATTCTAGAAAATAAGATTGGGCAGACCACAGGGATAACAACTGGCATTGACATTGTTGCAGGCTACTTTTGCCCTGCAGCAGTGCACCGAATTATTCAGGGGTAACTAAGGCTTTCTGCAAAAATAATATACTACCTAATCCTATCCCCATTAAGTGCCCTCTGTGCCCCAAAAAATTTCTATAAATTTGTCGGGCTTTTATATTATTACGAATAAAATTTGTCACAGGCAGTACGGCTAGTAGTTTTTTTGGTGACTAAATCTGAAATAACTTGGCAGGACATCAAAAATAATAAATGATATAACTCTACAATATGGTACTATCTCGGGGAAAAAAGAATCTAAATATTCATCTTTCTAAGAGTTGTAGGAATATTCTACATATATCAAGGAATATTGCAGTAGGGTGAAGACTTGGGTTAGTTGGTTTTGCATATTGAAGAGTCAAAAACAGTGTGAACAAGACGAAGGACAAGAGGAGACGTCGACAAACAGACAGCGCTTTCTACATCTCCTCTTGTCCTTTGCTGTTTGCGCTGTTTTTAATTTTTCAAGCTGTGCTCTGTCTGTCTACGTCTCCTCTTTTCCTCATAATTATTGTTATAATCAACGGCAAATCTACCGTAATTTAGAATTTT